TATTATTATTATGGTTCACAGAGAGGTTATTATGCAGCCTGTGCATCGTTTGAACCTCCTTTCTCTGTTCTGGTAAGTCTCTTCGTCCAGTTTGCAGTTTGGATCCTGGACCTTGAGAGCAGGCCTCTGCATCCTAGACGACATTTATGAACAGTTTGTTTTAGGAACTAATACAATAAAGGTTTGTGCTTAAACCCATGTACATAGATTTTGGCGTGTGTGTTTTTTTTTTTTATCCTAATCTTTGCCCTTTTTTTGACCTCCATTTCAGCTTTACTTTTATTGTCATGTACAACTGGCAGTTCTGCTTTGTGTGACTTGCTGTGTAAAAAAACTAAAATAATAATGATAATCACAGCCAGCAAAGTTGAGGGTTCTGCTTTGTGCAGCTTGCTGGTCATCGTGTGATTATCATTATCATCACTACTAGCTGGAAAGAGAACCTGGTGAAACCAATGCAGTTTTCCAGCTGATTGGAGCAAATCAATTTGAAACCTAGAACAATTTAACCAGTCCCTTTCAAAGATAGCAATATTTTTTGGAAAGTATCAATTTTGTTGACAAATAAGGACAGGATTCAACTATTGCTACAATCTTATGAACACTCACTTTGAAGTAAACTGTTTGAATGAAACAAGTTGTTATTTTTGAATAAGCATTCTTAGCCTATAAGGCAAGGGTGTGGAATATGCGGCTCCCCAGGTATTGTTAGACTTACAGTAATTCCCATCATCCCCACCAATGGAAAAGGTTGATGGCAGTTGAAGTCTAACAACATTTGGATGACCACACTGTAATTATCTCTACTGTAAGGCTTGGGTTATGATTTTCCTTCTCCTTGGTTTATTTTTTATTATAATACAGTATATTTCATAAAATTCAGATTTTACGATGATATACAGTAAATAATGGATTTAACACAGCAGGCACAGGTGGATAGCAGGGGAGTTTTTTATCTAGTTAAGTTGGTTCAGCAGTTGAAATCATATCTAGAAACCACTGAGGTAGCTAGCCATGGTGATTCACTCTAGGATAGATTATTGCAGTCATCTGTATACAGTGGTTTGCTCTTTAAAACAGTTTGGAAAGTGCAATAGTATGGGAAATGGCAGCTAAAGCATTTGTGGGAGATAGCCACTTAGCTGATGTTCAGTTCATATTCCACTTATGTTGAATCAGTTATACTGGCCAGAATCTTGTTGGTGCAGCTACACACACACAAGGCTGATTTATACCATCAGCTGTGGCCTTTTATCTTTAATTACCACTGTAAAGGCTCCCTCTGCTATCCTGAGGTCCCCAAAACCTTCCTCAAGTCAAAAGGGATCCCTAGAGAGCCTTAGAACCTGAATTTGGAGGGAGAGGAAACTTTCAATTAAAAATGAAATACCATGGCTCATGTTGCCATCAGCGTTATATTCACTGAGGAATGTCAACAAGATTCCAGCCAGTGTCTGTACTGGTTACCTTTCCAAGCTGAATTCATGCTCCTGATTTTCGCCTTCAGATTCCAAGGGAACAACCATCTACTGTACACCTATATGGTTCCCAAGTATTAAGAACAGCAGCACAGTTCGGGTCCTAGGAAGAGAACTTTCTCAGCAATGGTTCCATTCCTTTGGAACTACCTCAGGCAGAAAGTTATGCATGTATTTATTTGCTTGTTTGTTTTATTTAATATTTATACCCCCACTTAGTGATAAAGCACTACTCTGAGCAGTGAACAAAATAAAACATATGCATGCCTAATCACTGCTGATTTAGAAGCAATTAATAATAACAACTATGCATTGTCAAATCAACTCTTGATTTATAGCAACCCTTTTCAGGGTTTTCCAGGTAGAAAATACTGAAAAATGGTTTAGCATTCCTTTCCTCTGGGAGCACCATGGGATGCAGCTTGCCGAAGGCCACACAGGTTGGCTGTACTTGTAGGAGGCACAGTGGGGAATTGAACTGAACTATCCAATCAACTTTAAAAGCAATTACCTTCTCAAAATATATTTATTCCAGTCTGCATTTGCTCAAACTGTGCTATTTTTGGGGGGGGGGGAGAGGGGAGGAGGTGCTACTACAGGAATGTGAATTAAATGTTAAAATTGTAATTCTGTTTTCATGTATTTTAAAATCTTGTGATGCCTTCAGAATACAATAAAATGTTTGAAATAAATAATAAAATATAAGAATGTAATGAGCAGCAACAAATGAAACCACAGACAAACTACAAAAGCATTAAATATACTGTAAATGCTCAGGTCACTAGAATACCTTTGCCTTCCACCTAAAGGTTTCTACTCTCTACTAGGATGCTAGGTCCCCCTGCTTTGTAGTTCCATAGTGTTGTATCAAACAGAATAAAATGAAAGTTTGGCTAATCCAGCTATGGAAATCTTAGCCATTAAAAATAAGCCCACCTAAGTTTACTAGGACATTCTTTCTAGTAAATATGTTCAGTATGTCAGCTAACTTGTTCCATGGGGTCTCATAATGACAACCAATGAATTTCAAGTTAACACATTCAAGAACAAATGGTGTTGCTCAGCAGCGCACAGATAAGGGCACATGACAGCTGTGCTTGAGCTTAGTTGAATGCTGCCATGCCATTCATTGTGAAAGCACATATTGAGTACACTGTGGAAGGACTGTGGCACATCTATGGATTCTAAGTGACCCATTTTAAATCTGTTGAAGATCAGAGCATTGTGCTGGTGGTACTCTGGTCCCACAGCAGGAGAGAAAGATGAAAGACACTATCTTTCATCAGACCAGTTTTGCCATCCTAAATTACAGCAGGAGGAAACAGCCGTCAGGTCTTGTCTTTTAAGAAAATATATATCTTTTCTGTTCCTCTCATTCTAGGATGATGTACTAGTAAGGATATAAAAATCAAGCAGAGGATGATCTCCCTTTCCCTCACACACATTTACAGCTAATGAGCAAGTTGCCTCATTTTTTTAGTTTGTCTTTTCCCTGTCTATGTAATATACACAGTTCACTTTTTTGCAGAACAATTTCTAGAACCCTGCAAATGGTATGGCAGGCAGGGGAGGAGCATAGGAGAAAGCAAGAGAGAATGAGAATGGGGAAAGGGTCCAAACAATTGCAGTATATTTATTATTGGCTCAAATCTAGCAGCAGAATATACATTGCACAATGCAAATGACATCAGATTAAGTGATTTTTTATTATTATTATTATTATTTGGAAATGAGAAATTCTGACCCCCCCATCCCACCCCCTGAAGACTCCAGGCTTCCTTGTGATCTCATCATGGAGAAGCAGTTGGAGGCGGGGCTACGGGACAAGAGAAAGTCTTTAATTTCTGAAAATCAAAAGTTTTCATGATGGCTGGTGGTTTTTCAGATATTAAAGCCCACCCCTGGTAACCTCCAGTGGTAATCTCCAAAACATAACAAAATAGGGGGAGTGTGAGAAATTTTTAATTTCTGAAAAATTACTTTGAGTGATGATAGCTACCTTGAATCCTTTTAAGGAGAAAGGCGGGATAAAAATATTGTAAATAAATAAAGTAAATAAATGACATCGGCTTTATTCAGCTAAGGGTCTGCTGTTGGATTTCAGCCAATGTCAATTAATTACCATATTCTCATATGTGAGTCTATGCACTTGGATCCTCTGATAAGTCTCTTCTCAGAGTGCCATCCCTGACAGGTGAATCAGGTGGCAAAGCGAAAGAGTGGTTTTTCAGCTGTGGTGCTCAGACCATAGCCTGGGTAACTTATTTCTTATTTTAGAACTTCAATAACTGCCTCAAACAGCAATGGTTATGGGGAGTGCCATTCCTTTTTGCCTGTGCGCTAAGGGGACTCTAGGAGTTGTCATCCAAAACAATCATTTTTCCAAACTCTTAAGGCAACCTAGCTCAACCTTTCATCATGGCCATGAACACAATATGAAAGAAATATAAGCCAACCGGGATTCTTTAAGTCGCATAACGAACCTTACAAGGTGGTTTGTGAAGAATTGTTTCCAGTCTGGGGCCCTTTTCAGGGCCTTCCAGTGGGCCATATGGCATAATAATGGGATCAAGCTAGAGGAAGCCAGATTTAGGCTGAGTGTCACAAAAAACGTAACTGTTAGAACAGTACAACAATGGAACCAATCTGGAGGTGGTGAGCACTGCAACACTGGAGGCGTTCAAGAAAAAGTTGGACAAATGTGTCAGATCTGCTTTGATTTGGATTCCTACATTGAGCAGGAGTTTCTACTTGATGGCCCCTTCCAACTTCCTATTCTATGACTTTATGATTCATATCCTTCTAGGACAGAGATGGTGAAAGTTTGGCACTCCAGTATTTTGAACTGTGGTTCTTCGAATCCACAGCCTTTTTTGCCAAGGATAAAGGATCATGGGAGTTGTACTCCAAAACATCTGGAGAGCCAAATGTTCATGATCCCTGCTCTTGGAGAAGGACATGGGAGAGGTCAAGACTGGCATAGTCGCACTGTGCCTAGTTAATTTAAAAGGGCTTTCGATATAAAATCACTATCAGTATCAGCAACTTCTGATACTTTCAGCTGGTGATACCCTTCCCATGCTTCTTTACGCTGTGTGCAGACCTGTAACAAGCTGAGAGTCACCTATTACC